CCTACCCCTTGCAGCCGTCTCGTTAACGCGTGTTTTTTCATGGCGAGATTGACTGTGATGATGGCTGCGGAGGACGACCAGGTTGACCGTGAGGCAGCACGCATTCGCGCCAAGTTGCAGTATGTGTTTCACTTTTTCTTCTTGACCCGTCGTTTAACTTTCTGTTGCAGGGATGAACACAAGTTCGCGAAAGTTGAAATGCACATCCCCAAAACTACCGACATGCATCCTCTACTCGTGAAAAGGCTGGCTCCGGTCGCACTAAGCCCAGCTCTTTCTACCCATGCACGTCAAAACGCGACACGCGCCCCTCGTCCCGCATCGCAAATCTGATCGCGGGGACCATGAAACGTACGGGCTCGGGCCCGGGCTCAACCGCGTTGAACCGGCTGTCGTTGTGGACGAAAAGGTTAAAGCGCGTTCGGACAATCGGAACACGGGCCGGAGACCTGGACATCAATAAACCTAAATCTATTTTGAAATCCCGACCCCTCCCTCGGAATCGCGCTCGAACGTCGTAGCGGGCGTCGTATTACCGTAATTGGATCCCCCATTTCCATTACTAGATTCTGGGCGGGGTCGGAGGCCGGTCCGATTGGAGCGCCTCTATCTTCCTCGTTCTTCGGATCGCAACGACGAGGAAATTGGAATGATTCGACATTTTGGCCAAGTGCATCCATATATTTCCCTTGCTTTTCGGATCGATTTTTATCTTGCGCGAACGGTCACCTAACGATTTGGTGCACCCCAGGATATATCAAGATTTTTTCGACGCTCATTAACGCAACATTCAGCCGAGGCGCACCGTTCGGAGGCGTTCAGACTTGTCTGGATCTGATCTTCCCTTACTTTCCGGATCGAATTATTCCGCAACGAAACTTCGACGGCGACTTATCAGCACGTAACACTAGCTCGAGACGCGCCTCGTAGGCCAATCCGCCTCGATAGTGACTTCTTGGTAGTGTGTTCCGACCCCTCCAGACGCACCTCGATGGCTGCATTTATAACATTTATATTGTCCTCGCTCCTCGGAACGAATTTCGCAAGAATTCCGGCCGTTGCGACACCCATCCCCTCACTTTTCGGACCGAATTACGTCGCGTCGCGAACGATTGCGCCACGAGACGCGATTTGCATGCGAACGAGGCGCATCAGTGGCCCGACTCCTCCATGCATCTTCCTCGCACTCCGGATCTCATTAAACGTATTAGTACGATCGCGCAACGAGCAAGGTGACCGACCCCCTCGCCCTAGCATAATCCACACACGAGTTCACGTCCGCTATCACGTTCAATTAAAACGCATCAGCGGCAGGTAAACAATCTAATGGCGTATGGAAAATCCCTCTCCCTGGTCCTTGTGGCGGCCTGTCGTGGCGCTGGCAGACAATACCTGGATTCGGATTTGCGGTCTCTCGAGTCATCGATCGTAAGTGTAATCAACTCGGCCGCGTGGGGTCAATGTTGAGCGAAGCTGCGTTGGGATCCGGGCCTTTGTCCTCGCGCTCGACGCATGGCGCAACCCAAAAATCGGATTGCAACTCGAATTCTCGGTCGGGACGGCGGTCCCTGGGCAAAGAAAGACACCGTGCCTGGTCCGTGACTGCTGCGCCATTCCGTTAGTGGTTACTCCCAGGGCGTTGATAGTTCGAGACATGATATGATACACTCACGGCGTCACCGGTTTCGGAATATAATTATAAACTGGATTTGCCGGGACGACAGTTAAGGAACGAATGATGGCGGGGGCGCTGATGCGTGTCTTGTGATCCGTTGAATGCCATTCAAGATGTTCGATTTATATGTACATATGCAGTTGAGGATGAGACCGCTGGAAGAGATCATGCATGGGGTTTGTTGAAATTGCGGCACTGCGACTCGAAGCGGAGTCGATCCACGGTTGGAAATGTGCTAGGTATCGCCGATGATATCTGACGGAACGACCGCGCCACGTCTCGTCCGTCACCCGAGCGATCCCAGCAATATTTTGGGAGCATTGACACGAATCGGCGATGACGCAGAAGAGAATAGACATCATATTACGCCGTCACGTCGCGGGTAGCACATATTCTTTAGTTTTGGGGAGCCCCAGAAAATAGGAAATAGAACGTAGATTTATCCCAGAGCGAGGGAATGCAGCTCGCCGGAGGGGAAACATTGCTCCAGGCTGTCGATCCATTCTCGCGGGGGCCGCGCGATACTGAATAGAGAAGAGGTGCGGGGACGAGTTGGGTGGCCGGCCTGAAATCTACGAGGTTCTCAGCCAGTCGGCACTGCTTCGGGGCGGGCCCAGAGGATGGCGATCCAATATCCGAGCACCAGGTGAGAATGGCGCGGAAAACACGACAACACAGGACGTGGAATATGGGCGACGTACCAGCGCGCGCGCGTGCCGCATGCACCTGTTCTTGGCTGTGGGACAGTTCTTGGTTGGGGTCACGCAACTGAAAACACAAGGTTCGAATATTCTCAGCCGAGGGGACGAGAAGCGAGAAATATGCCGGCATCGACGAAGATTCGCAAATGACAGAAAATATCAGCGACTGGGAGACGTGTAGAAGAGCGAGCGAGACCGTCACCGCTCTTGCATTTGCGTCATGCCGAAGTGGATCCAGCAGCTGGTAAAGGTCCACGTACTGCCAGTGATTCATGCGAAGGTAGAATAATATAACGAATCCCGTGTCGGGCAGGTCACGCTACCACGGTGAGAATTCACAGCTTGGGGCTGAGCGATTTAGAAAATGGGCGCGAGAAACCAGCGAGGTTTCGCGTCATGCCGAAGTCAGACGACCCGCTGATACGGTGTTTTTGCATACCGAGAGAAAATGATATGAAGTCGATACAGCCAGAGTGGTGTCAAAGACGCAAATCCCGGAATGGGTGCGTAATTGGTCGGAGATGTGCCGGAATTTGTGGGTTCTAGCGTACTGCCTCGGAAGGGGGCCTCGGGATATCACAGATAAGAATCCCGACTGAGTGCGAGCCCTCGAGAACCCGTGGCCTATCCTCGCACGGTTCTCTGCATCTCGATTCAGATTCAGAGTGCACCGGGAGAGGTGCCGGGTACATGTGCGAATCACGCCAAGTTGGCAGATGGTCGCTTGCAAGGTGGGCATAGAAGAAATGCGCATCACTGTATCAAGGACCTAGTTTGGCGCGCGAGGGGGGCATTGAAACCTGAGCATTAGATCCCCAACGTCAGGTTAAATAATACGTTGGGGATACAAGATCAGGAATAGATATTAGAGCTTGTGCTGATGTGATGTGGTAGAAGCTCGAGTGGTCAAAGGGGACTGTGACAAGATCGCAAGAGAAGGTCGCGCGGGTAGAAGACGTCGCGAGAGATCCAGCTGGAACAGATGAAGGGGAGCACGCGCAAACGATGCTGCAGAAAGCGAGGAGATGGTTCAGGTTGATGAAGTTCGAAGATTTCAGACTCCGCCGATCACTTTCGATTCTCATGGTACGCCCTGATAGTAGATACGTCTCGCCTGCGACACGTTCTTTGGGAGCGGTTTGCAAACTCTCCTTTCTCCCCGGAGCTTGCCAAGACGCGGTGTTAGTCTGTGGGTTATTTACTCCCGAGAGCTTCTCTTTCGGACTATCTTCGTGTGGATGGATAACGCGTTACCAATGAACCCACAAATTTACAAATGAAAATGGTCTACTCCGAGGCGCTGTCACGGAACCGTTGTACTTGGAACTTGCGAAAGTCGTCGATGTGGTCTGACCCCTGGAATTCGTTTGTTTCTCGAAACATCTGAGGGCGCGTTTTACTCTCGGTGGTCCTAAGTATCGATGGGCGAAACTTGTCTTGATTTGGGAAGGCAACCTCATTTTTTGTCCGATGTGTCTTGCTTTTTCTAGCACAGCGGTGGGCATCTACACAGTGTGCATTTACGATCGCCACGAATTTTCGAGGTATTCACGAGGATTTTTCCCTTGAATCTGCTGGACGCGACATCTATACCACGTGAATCTCTGCTCCGGGGGCCGCTCAACCGTTTAAGTCAGTCCCGTCCCTTCTTGCGGATTCAAGTATATCTTACTCTTCGATGCGCGATAACCAAGACCTCGGTACGTCCGTTCAGTCCGACTGAACATAGTTATAACGCGTCGTATATCTACGCTGCTAAAGTTGCCGTGCCTCCTCAATTCTCCTGGATTTTCTTTGGCCGAATGTGGACGACAGGCAGACGATCCGGCAAGCCCCCAAATTTCGGCAGGCCCAATATTTTTTGATTGGCGGCGATTTCTACGAATCTCTCCACTAAGCAAGCATTCGTTCTGCCCTCAAATGCGCGTACCATTAATTCAAGTTTGCTACTTGCTCCCCACCTCCCCACCTCCCAGAAATTTCCCGGCACCGGAACGTGGTCTAATGAGGCACATCAGTAACTTCGCAATTTACTTGTGGGCTTGTGGCCCTTTTTGCTTGTGCTCAAAAAAAAAAGTCACCAAAATCATGTCTAGATACCAACGCGCACACTCAGTTTTTTTTTTTGGCCGACTTGTGGGGTTTCGGACATAGCTTGCGGTCTTGTCGGCTTTTTCGGCTTGTACAAGCTTGTACAAGCACCGGCAAGTAAGTTGTTAAAGTGCCGATGCACTGGAGCAATCGACGCCTCAATATTGAATCAGTGTTTACTCCACGTCTCTTCTGTCTCCCTGCACTTGTGGACTATTTTCTGTGAATTCACTTCAAAGAAGTTCTGGCAAATGACACTGCAAAATATGGGGCGCTTCAGAAATTCCTCAACCTCATCCGAGGTTCGTGTCCTTGGCTCGGTTGCATCCCCTCGCCCTCAAATCAATTCCCGACGCGACTCGACTCGCGCGAGGTCCCCCAATTTGAACCACAGGCGCAGACAATGTACATATAAATATTCAATCAGAACATTTCGCATATTTTGCTCGCTTCAAAGAATCTCTGCACACCCCGGAGGTCTTCCTCACCATTTGCTTCCCCCCCCCCCCCCCCCCCCCCCCCCCTTTTGTCATGGCTCAATGGTCTAGACGTATGATACACGCTTCGGGGATTTCGCTTTCCAGTGATTTCTGACTCACTCACTTGTGTGTGGTCCCGGGTTCAATTCCCGGTTGAGCCCATTTTTGGCTACTTTTACTATCTCAAGTTGTAGCCTGTCATCTGCCCTACATCCTGGTATTTTTTCCACGATTTTAGAGTAGCAGATGCCCTCTCTAGAGCGTCCTGAAGGTCCCTTTCAACATCTTTTGATGCCATCATAACAAACAACTTCTTCACGTATTGTGAGGAATCTAGTGGCCCCTTGGCCTCCTTCAGCCGTCGCCATGGGTGTAATTTCAAGGAATTTGGACCCCTGATGCAACAACAGTTAGTTGAACATGGTCGGCTGGGAAAGATGATGGGAATCATGGGATCAATTATGGTTCAACTTTTCCAAACCGCGACTGGCGCTGGGGCTTCAACCCGCCCGTTGTGACGGGACGGCCCTCGATAACTCTGGGTGTCAACAGGGATGGGACAGGACTCAAGACCAAATTTCATGCGGCGGGAATTAACTTAAGATGAGCTTGATCAATGGGCTGGTACAAACGTACAGGGTGAAATACACGTAGAGCATGTTGCCGACACGTTCAACACGGTCAATATGGTGAATAAGGGCATCCCATGTCGGTGCGTCCTTGTGAGGCACCATGTTGCCGATATGTCTGGTGGTTTCAATCTCTTCGTGGCGGGTTTTTTTGATGGGTTGGTCGTCAGTTGAGGCAGACCCTGCCGCTCGAACAGCATTGTCGGGCGTGCGCGTGCATTTGGATGCGGGGTAGGCAGCCTCATGTTGCCATTTGGTGCGCTGCCAGAAGAGAGCAATAGCATTGGTGGCATTTTTGGAGTACGAGTCAGACGAGTTGCGATTGGAATCATAATTGATGTACAAGGTGTCCTCCTCAGTGACCCAGCTGTTATACGCCTCCCTGTAGTTCTTCCACTTAACAAGGTAGCCAAGTTTTCCCTGGACATATCTGTTAATTCAGCCCAGTATATTGCCAACACAGAGTACCTCCCCAAAGCGGTCCTTGTTACTGTCCAGGATGGCCTCGACCTCATATTCCTCTTTGTCGTCTGCATGGTCGTTATCGTCCTGTGGGGCAGAGCCTCGCATTCGGTGGTTATCTCTTATTGAAAGGTGTGCGGAGGGGAGTTGCCGAAAGAAAGGTGGTTGCAAGTGCCAAAGATTTGGCATCAAAACCACATCTGCCTGCAAGCACTGCATTTTGACATGAATCTTCATGGAACACAACGCCGGTTGTTACGGTGGATATCTAGTCGATGAGCCTCTACTGTAGCTGAAACCTTCCTGGCAAGTTCGATCCTCGTCCTGGTACTTGGGCACACTGTATGCGTATGGAATGGGTAAGGAGTCGATAATCCATTCCGAATCCATATAATTACAATGTGGAAATGGCGGCACTTGGTAATTCATTTCATTCCACAATGACATTTGGACTGACACGGATGCTGTAGAGAGCTCATATGTCGTCACTTTCCTGACCACAGACAAGAACTCCAGTCCCCACCACGCCCCCGTCCTCCACACCTGCCCTTCCGCCGTATTTCCAATAATCACGTCGCTGGACACACCCCAGCCCCTGCCCCAGCACTCAGATCTCGCCTCTGTATTCTCCAACTTTATCGACATATGAAACCTGCACTGTGCCTTCTTTGCGTCCCTCTCTGACCTGCTGTCCATAGACGCAGATGGAGATGTGACTCGAGGCCGAGGACGGCTGGGCATCCTCCACCGCCGAGCTGCCAAGCCCCATGCGCCCGAGCTCGACAAGTGGATGGCAGCGTGCAGCTGACCAAAGCGTAGCTGTTCGTGTCACTCAGCGCGACACACCCGGACTTGACGCTCACCTCCTTGTCGTCGACCACACATTTGCAGCGCTCGTTGCAGGCGCTGCTGTTCCTGCCCTCCGGTGAGCGGCTGAGCGCTCTACGGGAGGGCAAAGGCACGAAAGGGAGTGCGAAGGCACGGGAGAGGAGGGGCCACGTGGAGCACTGGGTGCCGGCGATCTGGATCCCGGACAAGAAGACGGAGGGGTGTATGCAGTGTGGACGGCCATTTGGGTGGCACAGGCAGTGGCACCATTGTCAGCTGTGCGGGGTGTTCGGAGCGGGTGTGTTGTTTCTGTTTTTGGTTTCTTATTTCTGTTTCGTTTACTTTGTATGATGCTGATACACGCAGACATTCTTCATCGCGGACCCAAGCACCAATGCGATGACGAGCAAGCCCCCGTGCACGCGCAACACGTGCTATGAGACAGTGTTTCCCTTGCTGCCACCCCAGGGCAACAACTCGGACGGCGCGCTCAATAACACTACTCGATAACACCACCACCAACAACTTCCCCTCGTGGCTCTCGATGCCATCGCTCCCCCTTCTGGGGGCGGGGATGGGGCCAGAGGCGCTCATGGCGATTGACTGGGAGTGTGGGGTGGGGCGGCTAAGGAGCGAGCAGAGCCAGAAGTATGAGCAGCTGCGGCACGGGCCGGCGGTGGCGTCCAACTTCCTCCTTGGGCACGTGGGGGAGGGGAGTGTGGTGGAGATGGCGGTGGAGATGGCAGGCGCACGTGTAAGGGTGCGGAGCCCACCGCCGCCACAATGGCACGACCACACGCTGTGTGGGGACTTCAATGAGGTGCGGTTTGCGATTACGAGCCCGGTGCAGAGGTAATTGAGGAGGGGGAGGAGTAATTTGATCTGATACGGCATGATGGTGTGGCCGGAGCAGTTTTGGATGGATTTTACTGCGAAATAGTTCAAGAATCAGCATGAAATAAATGGAGGAGAGACGCACCTGGATACACCCGTAAAGGCGATTGGGATGAGCGCGAGTTGGGAGCTAGGCGGAGCGTGACTGAGGGTTGTAAGGAACAGGCTGTGGGAGATAGTGAAGGAGTAGCAATGGGACAATGGTAAACTATGGCAGGCGCACCACCCGCAGGTGGGAGCTCTCCAGTACTCGTCGGAGTAGGGGCCCAGAGGATGTGGGTCCGGGACAGTGGCTTATATAGCGGGGTAGCTGGTGGCAGTGTTGGAATAGACCGGATGTGTCTCCTGAGAATTCAACATACAACGGGAGAGAGCGCGACGTGTCTGTTTATGACTGCTTGCAATAGATCGCGCCTTGAAGGAGCTGTTGACCTCTGTTGACAGAGTAACAACCAACACTCAACAGCCAATGACACTTTTCCACTATTTCAGAGCCCGCTGAACAATCATGTTGCAGGACGAGGTTAAGGAGCAGTGGAAAATCAAGGTGGCATAAGCCGGAACAGGATTTTCCATTCACAGTGATAAAATAAAATACAAACTGTATGATGCAGCTGTCACAAGGTCACGGTCACGGTGGGAGTACAGTGTAATACTTGGGTGCTTGTAATGGACCCGTCTACACGTTCTCTTGAGCAATTTCATCCGGGTTCTCCAAAAAGTCCTTCATGAATTTCCAGAGCTCGCGATCAATGCACCGAAGAGTCCCTTGGAGCGCCTTTTTCAATCCCCGATGACGCGTGTGAACCACTGTGCGGTCGTTGTTGTCCGGGTCGTGGGATATGTTATCGTAAACGAGTGAGAGCAAGACAGGGAATTCCTTGGTGCATGCATTGTTAGTGAGCGACATGACATTCCAAAATGGATCCATGAACATGGCGGGTCTGAACTGTCAACTGGCATGGGAGGCGTGCAGGAAAGAAATTAGGAATGGACTGACGGCGTGATACAATTCGACGAAACAGTTGTGCGCCGTGATTTGGGGCTCTAGTTTTTGACGCCATTCAACGTACGCGGCGCGGTGCTCATTCTCCATCTGCGCCTGACGGTCGGCCGGGGGCAGCGATTCAAAATATGTGCGGTGCTCTTCGATGTCCTGGTAAGCAGCTGCATAAAACACCCCCTTTTCGCAATTGCTGTTCTCGCCAGTGAGGGAGAGCCAATCAATAGTGAAAGCGGCCACTGAGATGTGTTCGAGGATGTGCTGGGTACGCCGTTCTGCCTCGGATAGGCTGAAACCAATGCTCAAGGCCTAGACGTATGGTAAGACATGTCGGGGAACAGGGAGATTTGAGGGACTTGCCCTTTGATGCGCAGTGAGCCTCTGCGCCTGGCGCAAACAGTTTCGTTCCTTGTATGCCTTGATCTGTTCATCGAGTGGCGTCTGGGTAGGGGTCTTGAAGGCATTGTGGACGTTGGCCATCTGGCAGAATTTAGCGACAGGTAAAGGAGCGCTGTGGCACGCTAACCCAAACCGTACTGCCTTTGCTCGCATCGTAGCCACGCATGAGGCGAACAAACACACGTTTTCCAGTTCTGCATGATCTCCATGACCAGGGTTGTTAATCAACTTGATAAATTCTTCAGGAGGGTTTGCGCCATGGTTCATGATCTCGCCCAGCTTTTTTTCAGCCTTCATTCTGTGTTTCAGGGCTCTGTCGGTCTGTGTCACGTGAGTTTCGGCTGAGTGTACTCACTAGGGGACAGACCTTGGGTGGTTTCGGAGCTGATTCTTGGTCGCCTTCTTGGTTGGCGTCGGCGTCTTGCTGGTCGCTGGCAGGCGGGGCTGGGCCTATACCCATTTGCAGGCGCACCTCTTCAGCTCGCATTACCATGTCTTGGCGAAACTCAGCGGCGCCTGGACTAGAGCCAGCCCAAGCCAGCTGCAAGTTCGCTTCCAGTTCATCCCAGGCATCGTAGCCTGCTGCGCGTACAGCCGCCTTGTTGTTGTCGTCCATAGCGAGGCCACAAGAGAGGAAGATGGCCGAGGTCAAATCAAAAAACTAAGAAAGAATTAAGCCGGAATTGTTTAGTGGTAAGAGTGGCGCGGATCTTTGGGGGGGTCTCGTCTGCTCTGGGCACGCACCAGTGACCAGGTGCTGATTCTAGCGCGCAAGCCGATGAGACTGTACCAAAGAAGGCGTGAAAAAAGAAAAAAAACACGTAAAAATGCGTCCAGTGGCAATAAATTAGAGGTGGTCTTTGGCGCGATATTGTTTTGTTTTATGTGCATGCCAGTGACCAGGTATTGATTCTAGCGCGCAAGCAAACAATTTCCCGCCGAAGCT